CCAATATAGAAGACCCTAACCCTAAAGTTAATCGAAAAAATTATTAAATATGAGTTGCCTCCGCTTTAGACGTCCCCATTTATAGCAGAAAAAATGTCGATCCGTGTAACTGGTGTTCGGTTACACAAAGCAGGGACATTTGATTTTGTGATCAACATTTCGATTTTGGCCAATCAGAGTACGGATGGGAACGGCTACAGCGCGTATACTTATTTGCGCTGGTGATACAAATCCAAAAAAGGAAAATTTTCTATGTAGATCGCAAGATAAGGTGCAGCCTTTGTGTAACGTGAGATCGAAGGCTTTTTCAAAACATTGCCGGTAACTCAAAATTTTGCTTAAAAAATCACCTCTTACGTTCTAAAAAAAAAATTCCTGGCCAAATTTTACTATACGACTCTTTTTATAGCCAACGTCCATAAGCTCGCACCTTTGGAGCCAAAGGAAATGAGTGCACTTATAGATTAATATTTTTGTTTAGTTTTTTACTATGCATTGATTTACTTTGTACTTAGTAATATACCGAATTTTTTCGATCATTACGCTCGTATTTTGCATTTGTCTATCTTCGAGAATATATGACTAAGATCATGATTTAATTGGTAGAATTTTTAATTTATCTACATTTTGATTTAACCACGTGACAATGTGAAACAATGTTGATATACCTTGATTTTCAAGAGATACCGGAGGTTAATACCCATTACATTTGATTAATTGCGATCAGCTAGAAATACAAAAAAGTCTAATTTATTATTGCTTACCACGTTTACCGTAGTATGATTCTCTATAAAAAGGTTTACAGTATACTTTCACAGGTTGCATCACTTTATTAAATAAATCTAGTGCGTAAATTTAATTCTGTAAGACCGAAGCTCACAGCCATTTCATTTGGAGATAACCAAATCATCCGATATACGCCAATGGGTTCAAGTTCCTCAAAGGGTTCAAGTTCATCTTCCTCAAGAGATTCCCCAAAGGGTTCAAGCACATCTTCCTTAAAAGACTCCTCAAAGAAGTCATTAAAGAAATCAAAAAAGGGGCCAAAATCTTATTGTCCAGATGAATGTGAAGGTTTAGTTTGCCGTTGTGAAGATAAAAATTGGTATCAGGTTATAAAAAAGAAACTTGATGCCCTCAACAATGATGAATACAAATCTTTACTTCAGAACCTGGAGATCGAAAGTCAACATGATCTTATTTACTTATTTGGGGACAAAGATCTCTTTTTGAAAAAATTTCTTACAATACAAGCTGAAAGACATGAGAAATTACTAGAAGAGATGAAGTCGGAAGTACGTCAATTGAGGGACTTTCAACAATATCACCAAGAAATAACAGAAGATTCATATAGTAATATTTGGAAAAATATGCTTGAATATAGAGGGCAAAGCAAGAAGTACAATATTTATTTATTTATTGAAAAATTAGGAAATTTTGATAATAATGTTTGCAAAAAAATTGGTAATTTCTTTTATCGTTATGGAGCATTTCATGTCGGACTCGAGATAGATGGTATTGTCGTAGAATGGGGCTGTGGTCTTGCAGGCTCCAGTATCGTATATCCAAGACCTGATTCCAGGAGAATGCTTGCATATGTACGATTAAATTATGAGAAAATAGATCCTGTGTCTAATTCCAAAGAATCGTTATCTAATTCCAAAGGGCTGATATCAGCCACAACTTTAACTACAATTGGAGCCACAGCTGTAACTACAATTGGAGCTACAATTGCAATTGGTGCCGCAGCTGTAACTCCAATTCCATTATTCTGTGCCATTACGCTATTAATTTTTGGTCTATGTTATTCATATAAGGTAATCTATTATTTGGGAGAGATTAATAAGAATAGATTACATCTGCTTGCTGAAAAATGTGTTTATTACAACAAAACTCATTATTATTCGCCTCTAAAGCCCAATTGCCAAGATTTTGTGGATGAGATGCTAGGATCTCTTGGCATAAAATTTAATCCCAAAGGAGAATTTCTTGAATTCATGGGTAGAATCAAAAATGGAGATGCTTCATTTCAATTGGGCACTACATTTGAATCAAGAAAGGTCTTCGATAATTATGTAGATGCCCACTGGGATGGAATTAAAAATGAATGGGATAAGAAATTACTTATATGTTATTCAGATGTAATGGATAGCTTATATCAGCGTGGCGAGGATGCATGGGTCCTATAAATCATGAGATTTGGTTGCAAAGATATGAAGATTTGAAATAAGCTTCTTTATCACCTTCAAATATCCTTTATGCAAATTGCATCTATATTTGTCATATTTGCCATACTTAGTTATAGTCAAACTATTTTTTTTTGCTCACAATATATGTAGCGTCATAATAAAATATTAGAATTTTCTCTTGCTATATTGTGATTGTTTTGCAGCAATCTTACAATGGTTACGAGCTTACATATAGGACTTAATCCTCAAATCAAAATCGAAATTTGAATCGGTTCTCATATCATTTAAAGATATATTTTAAAGTTTTTAAAAATTTATAATTCATTATTCTGTATATGAGTGTCGCTAAAAGAAAACCCGAAAATTTAAATATAAGTCATATTTAAATTTCAGGTTTTCTTTTAGCGACACTCATATTGCGTGAACCAGATCGTATCTACTTTTTTACCGTATATGATTAGAAGTTGCGATATCATCACAAAATATATTTTTCATAAAACTTAAGTACATTTTATAAAGTTATATAAATGTTATATTTTTATATAGAATAACAAATTTATTGTAGATTTATGTAGTTATAAATTTTATACATTACTTTATATAACATTTATATATGATTTATTTATAGCTATATAAAGATTAAATTTATATAAATTTTATTTATATCTACATAAAAATAATTTATTTGGTTATTTCTCACAAACAACTAAGATAATCGGTGTCCGATATACTAAGTAATAATGTACAGCATATCCAAAAACCTTACTCAAATTCTGATTTAAAATTTAAAATCCAATCATAGCTTCAATACTTGAACTAAAAATTTTTTGTAATTCTACATAATTTTACATAATTTTGTATAAAATATAGACTTATATAAAGCTCTATATAAATCTTCATTGGGTTTGTATAAATTAAATACAGTTCTATATTAAAATGTACTTGGTGATGGTGATGTCGACATCAACAAAAAATTTTCGTGTGACTAATAAATGTGATTAAGATTTAATTCTGAGATATACGCCATTCTTAAAGTCGACCAAGAACTATAGAAACAAATTGTTCATACCGTTACGGCATTAAAAAAGATATGGTTGAATTTTGAGAAGCGAGGCCCATATCTATATAAAAAAATTATTGAAAACCCACGACTGGTTATGTATTTTTTTAATTTATTCAAAACTAGTCTTATATATTTGTGTTCAATTTTCAATATAATCTATTCAAATTAATGATATTTACTGAAATGTATATATATTTATTTTATTTATATTAATGAGTGAGCATAAAAAGTATTTATAAATCGGTGTATTTATTGAAAAAAATAATACCTTGTCTATTTCATTCCATTAGCAAGAATTTTCTTAAGCTTTATTAGTCCTAAAAGTTAGCCAAAAACTGATATGTTAAAGTGAAGCAAATAACGATAAATAAAATGAACTATACTGATGTGTAATACGAATTAAAATAAACGTAATCTCTTCACTTTGGCCTGAATAAATCATTCAAAATTTTTTGCTGCATTTTTTTGTTGCTTCATTCGGTTATATACGATATATTAGTACACGTCTACGAAATATTTGAGCTACTACGAATGAATTAATTTAACCTATACCTGTAACGAGTTTTGTGTATTTTTACGAAGAAATATTTTGATTCTGATTTAGATATTCGGAGGACCTAATCCCTTACTGCTGTACTGTGTCCAACCACTATGACGTACAAACCTGGCACACACTTCAAACCCACATTCGCTAATCAGATAAAATTTAGAAGCATAGCCAATCGTGACAACTAACTAAACACATGAATTTGTGCATAACATACTCTCCGTTTTAAATTATTTATAACTCCGTTACTGGTATACCAATAACTTCCCTAAAGTCGCCCAAAAAATCAGTTACGTATCGGAATTAAAATTAAACACCCGTTACTATAGATGCAGACATTTTGAGGTAACGGAGTTGCGACTTTCGCGGCTAAAGTTGCAACTTTTTGTAGTATTGATGTAGGTCGTAATTAAGTAGTAGGTCGTAATTAAGTAGTAAGCATTATAATATGTTATAGACCGTAATAATGTAGTAAGTATTTATATGCATCATACGCATAATATATGTAGTGATGTAAGTAGTAAATAGTATAATTATGTTGTAATGCAATATAGCATATTCTATTAAATAACAATTAATCGCGACAAATTAAAAAAAAATAAAAAAATAAAATTTTGACCTTTAACGATGGCAAGTTTAAGTCGTGAAAGCTCAACTATTTCGGATGATGTTAGTTCAACTTCAAACCCCTTAAATAAAAAATGAAAAACCAACGGGCCAAATTTCGATGAAATTTGGTCATATTATATAAAAGGAGATAGTAATGGCAATGGCCACTATAAAGCAACATGTTACCATTGTAATGAAAGCTGGAAGCGTGGAAAACCTCATGTTATGAAAGCACATTTAGCTAATAATTGTGCATCTTGTCCCGAAGATATTTGTGCACATTGGCATAAAAAATTGGCAGAAGAAATTACTAAATATACTTGCAAATCATCATCAGCCTCTACAAATATTTCCTACCCTTCGCAAAGTGAACCTCTTCCTTCTAAAATAATAATCATCTGGATCAATTGTTATTAAAGGCCTGAATTATGACAGGTGTTCCATTTGAAATTATTGAAAACACTTTCATGAAAGATTTTATCAAAAAATTAAATTCTAAATATATTCCACCCTCACGGACAACTCTTTCAGGACGTCTTTTAGATGCCGAAGTTGCACAAGTAACCAGTGCAGTTTATAATGAACTTGAACATTGTGACAATCTTATATTAAGTATATAATCTATTACTAATTATATACAATAATGTATCTGTATACGTGCATATCAATATTATTATACAAATATAGTAATAATTATTATTCGCAATGTTTTCTTTAAAAAAATATAATTATTAATTTTTTTTTAAGAAGTTTACTAACGACCAGCCTGGATGACTTATTAAAAATCATCCACTATATAAATTAGATAAATCATGTGATTATAAGAAAACAAATGTATATAAGCATATAATCATAACACCCTATATATTTGCAAACCTTCAGCTATTTTTACTAATCAGGTTCCAGCAAAAGAACTTTGTTAAAAGACAGTATAAACGTATCATATTTCACTTTATTAACATGCACTGTAATAGTAAATGATGTTCATATGAGAACATCATTGTATAATATTTATGACCATACTACATAGTAGCGATTATTTTAAACATCACTGTGCAACAACCAACTTCAAAATGATTAACCCGCTAATATTAACAACCCTGACCCTAACAACTCTAACCCTAATAACCCTAATTTTAAATTTTTATACTAGAACATCACAGCTACAAAGCCAGCAAAATGTAAACAACACTAATAGCAACACAAAGGCAGCAGTGACAATTCCAGATAGCATATATAGGATACTAACAACAGATGAAAACACTAATGACAAACAAATTTTCTAATAGCACTAATACCTGGATGATTATTCTAAAAAATCTAGAAAAAAAAATGAACAAGCATTAGTAACATTTTACAAATCAGATAACAAAAACAAATTAATACATCCCGAACTATCGAACTCCAAGAGATATGTTTCAAAATTCTAAAGAAAGCAAGCTCAAAAAATGAATAAATGAAGTAATACGTTCCAGATTCCCAAATTATAAGCCTCACAATTCCCAGTAGGTTCAAACGTCCTAAAGAACCTAGAAAAAAAAAACAAATGTTAGTAATATGCCCACAAACAAAAAAAAAAGAACAACAAATAAATAAGTACTATAATACTCCCTGAATTCTCAAGACATACTTTTCACAATTCTCAAGAAGCTCAAAGATGCTCTAAAAAACCTAGAAAAAAAAAACAAGCATTAGTAACATGCCTACAGACCAGAAAACAAAAACAACGAATAAGCGAAGTTCTGTAATATGTCCCAAACTTCACAATTCCCAAGAAAGCTTAATGCGTCCTAAAAAAACTAGAAAAAAAAGAACAAGCATTAGTAACATGCTCACAGACCAGAAAACAAGAACAATGAATAAACGAAGTATTGTAATACGTTCTGAACTTCACAATTCTCAAGAAAGCTTAAAACATTCTAAAAAACCTAGAAAAAAAGAACAAGCGTTAGTAACATGTCCACAGAGCAAAAAACAAAGAACACGAATAAACTAAGTACTGAAATACACCCTGAATTCCCAAGAAATTCTCCTTACAATTCCCAAAAAAACTCAAAACGAATAAACGAAGTACTGTAATACATCCCGAACTTCACAATTACCAAAAAAGCTTAAAGCGTTCTAAAAAAACCTAGAAAAAAAGAACAAGCATAAGCAATACGTTAACAGAGCAGAAAACAAAGAACGAATAAACAAAGTACTGAAATACACCTCAAATTCCCAAGACATTCTCTTTACAATTCCCAAAAAAAACTTAAAACGTCCTAAAAAAACTCAGAAAAAAAAGAACAAGCATTAGTAATACATCCACAAACCAGAAAACAAGAGCAACAGATAAACGAAGTACTGTAATACATCCTGAACTTCACAATTCCCAAGAAAGCTCAAAGTGTCCTAAAAAACCTAGAAAAAAAGAACAAGCATTAGTAATACGTCCACAAACTTGAAAACAAGAACAACGAATAAACAAAGTATACACTTAAGACATATGCTAAGAAATTTCAAAGCTTCCTAAAACCAAATTTAACCTGATAATGTTTTTAACATTACCTAATTATCTAAAAAAGAAGAAAAAGATTAGATCAACAATCAATCAGGTGACCAATTTATATATTATATGGTGGATAATTTTTAATAAAATCATCCAGGTGGATTTTAATAAAATCTCTTTTTTTAATTATTTTTTTTCTTTAATTTAATTTAATTTTTTTAATTTTATTTTTTAATTTTTTTTTAGTGTTAGACGGTTGGTCATCTTCACGGATAGATTCATTTTATAAT